CGCTCTCGCAAACTCCTGGAGCAGGAGCTGATAGAGATCACTGAGAGGCACAACGAAATCAATGTCCAGGTGAAAACAAATACCACACTCTTGATACAGGGTCGTTGTACTGTTTGCTCCGCTGCTGGCATTAAAATGCTGTCGTGCTTGATGAGAATGTACTGCGCTGTAAAGAAAATGTTATGAAAGAATAAATAAAAATCCGATTGATTTTATTAGAGCCAAATATAGCCGCAAAACTCCCAGTGACTTCAGTGACAGCCTGAGTAAGTATTGCAGGATTCGACCCATAAAGAATTAAATATGATATTACTCCTTATGGGGAAAGTCCTATAGAATTTACGATGAACTCTACCAAGAGGGTTGTATGGATATTACACTAAGGATGGGATATTTGAAAATGCTCAGCGTTGGCCCAAGTCTATGATCCATTGACGCCAGTGGGGGCAGAGTTAGGACAATGCTGATGCTTTTGAAAATGCCCCTCTAAAAATCTATAGGGTGAAATGCTGGCTCCACTGAAGTCAATGTGAATTTTGCCATTGGCTTCACTGGTGTCAGGATTTTACCCCTAGAATTTAATGAAGAGTGAGATCCATTTGACTGAAATTTTAAACCATCTTACAGAATGCAAAGACAATGATGTCCTATAGGATTCTGTGCGCTGGTTTCAAAATTCTAGAGATGGTTTATCATTATTTATTACATTCTCTAGGCCTTTTTCCATAAAGGATGGACTAAATGTGCAAAGGATTTCCAAAGAAGGGGAAGGTCTACAAGATAAACTGCTGGAAAGGACTAATAATAGAGAGAAGCATTTGCATACTGAGATGATCATGGGACTTTGTTCATCTAAACAGATGTAAATGCCACTTTTTATCAGAGACATAAAAAACATAACAAATACATTTACTTGTAACTGATGCTCAAAGGCTAAATTTTCGGCAGCTAAACTGCTGTATTTATGTCTCATAGTCTGCCTGATGCTTGCTTGTTATACAGAACTAATATTGCACAGTGCTTGCATTGTACTCTACAGCAGGGGTAGTCAATTATTTTTTTGTCAAGGTCCAAATTTTTTGGTCAAGGTATAATCAAGGTTTAGACTCCAGAGAAAATAATACAAAATAACAGTAACAATAATAATAAAAAGATTTCAGGGACCATTGAAAAGTGTCTGGTGGTCCGGATTTGGCCCGTGGTCTGCCTATTGACTACCCCTGCTCTACAGTATTGTTGTACATAGACTTGATGCTGTAGTGCTGAAGATCTTGAAAGTCTATACAATGCATTTGTTTGGTTATTTAGTAATGTTTCTAGGTATAATTGTCTTAGCAGTTGGGCTCCTTACAAAAAATCTTAAACTATACACATTGGCAAACATTGTGATTAGATGTAGATCAGATTTCCCATGAGGCAAAAGATACATGTAGGCTGTAAGATCTTTGCACAGCAAGTGTGTGTGTGTGTGTGTGTGTGTGTGTGTGTGTGTGTGTAGAGTGCCTATAGACAAAAACGTCTGGATGCTACTGCAATATAACTTTGAAATAATAATACACACACATGCGCACAAATACAATGAAGCAGGATTAAAATCAAACCCTTTCGTAGACAAAGGGATATGACGCATGGAACAAGATTGGTTACCAAGGAAAATCTTTCCGATATAAAAGTAAAATAAACATACAGGGCCAAATGCATCCCTAGTGTCAAGCCAGCAAAGTGCCAAGTCATCTGCTCAAAGATCAAGTTATAACCCATAAAGCTAGGCTGGGTCACTGAGTCTTCCCTCCTCCCTTCAGAACCAAAGCCTGCTGGTGATAAAGCGCAAACTGGAGTCTGACCTTATGCGCATTACAAGTGAACATGAGGAGATGATCAGCGAGTTCCGAGCGGCCGATGAGCGAGCCAAGAAAGCCATGGCTGATGTAAGTTGCACCCGGCCCTCAGTGATGGTCCCTAGAAGCCTGGGGGTGGGGAGGTTGTATATTCTGCTCTTTCCTACACTGCTCAATTTTGAAGTGCATTGTTACTGATTAATCTTAGCACTTACGTAGCATTTCCCATTCGCAAAGGGCTGTGCACACATCAGCTCGTCTGCCCACCAATATGGCAAAAAGAGACTTGGAGAAATCCACTTCTGTTCTGTCCCCCCTGCTAGGGAAGGGATCTTCTGCATTACTGATGGCATCCTGGGGAGCTCCTCCATTTCCCCTTCTGTTTTGTCCCCGCTTTCCTCAAGGCTTAACATTGAAACTATCAGGCTTCCAACCAAAGACTGGACACCCTCCCCCGTAGCCAGTCAATGCCATTCATAATTGGCATGGAGAGCAGAAGAGTGGCCAATGTGGAGTACATTTCTCAGTTGGCACTTAACAATTGACACCTTAGAAATTCCATAGATAGCTGTAGAGTTAATGCTCAGTATTTCCTCCTGAAAAAAGGCTGAACATTCTGCCTTCTTTATGCTCTCAGCTATTGCTTGTTCATACAGCACCTTACCTAGACCCCGGGGCAAGAAACCCAGGCTGGACCCTGCTCCCAGAGGCTCCCTCCTGCTCTCAGCTCTGAACCTTGGCTGTCTAGTCAATTTCATGGCTGGGAGCTGTGAAACTGACAAGGCAGTCTGGCTTCTGGAGGGGAGTGGACATTGGGGGGAGAAGTCCTGGGTAGCTTCCTCCCGTTCCCAGTGGGGAACATGGAGTGGTGGGGGGCAGCCCGCCAGGAGCCTGTGGGGCAGCCAGGCTCACGGCTCTCAGCTTCCACACTGCCCCTCTTAGGTTGGTGGAAACGCTCCTGAGGAGGACACGCACCACCAATCCAAGGAGGGTAGTCTGGAGATGCACCACCGCAGTAATTATTGCGGGGCCTGTAAGTCGACCTAATATAAGTTGACTTATTTGTCTAGTGTAGACATACCCTATGGTACGTTCTAATCTCTCTTCTTCCCAGGGGAGGATGGAAAGCATAAGCACTGGATTGTCTAAAGGCAGAAATTACTGTCTTAATAAGAGGGATGGGTAATATCTTATACTATACCCCTGTGATAGTAAGCAAGCGCAAATCTCCTGGCTTGAGGCCTGATCCAAAGCCCATTGAAATCAATGGGAGCCTTTCCATTCGAGAGGCAAACTGTGATGAACAGAACAGACTTCTAGATCCTGCAAAAATTCCCCATATGGCCACATATGGACATCAGATCTAAATATCCTAGTTTCCAATGCTCAGTATAAATAGTCCATGCTGACAAGCTGTTTCTTACCCTGCTCTTAGGCTTCCCGCATGGCAGAAGAGCTGCGTCAGGAGCAGGATCACTGCATGCACCTGGAAAAGATCAAAAAGAACTATGAAATCACAATAAAAGACCTGCAAGTCAAGATGGAAGAGGCTGAGCAGTTGGCCCTGAAAGGAGGAAAACGTACTATCATGAAACTTGAGACCCGGGTAAGAAAAACTGGATAGATCTACTCCAAAAAATTCTTCCAACACCACCGTCCAACCCTTCCCTGACCTGAGCTTTAGTACTCGGGAGAAATATTTGAAAAAAAAAAAGGAATGTTTTTATTAAAGGGCCAGTGTATCCCAGATAGATTAAACTAAACTAAAGAGAGAAAATAATAGCAAAATATATTCTAGAGAAATTAAAATCCACCCAGGCCATACTCAGCCCACTGCAATGCAATGAAAGGTCAGTGCTGCTCCTCTGTGTCATATGCAATTTCTGGTTGGATCCTAAATGTCCTTGGCTATAACTCTAGGGCATATTCTCATTAGCCAAGCCATCTCTCTGTCGAGCATCCCATCGATGGGTCCTCCTGGCCCCAGTTCACACAAGGTCCTATTGGATCCAGTGATATGTCTCATTGGGATTCTTTTCATATTTATTGCAACTGAAATACCCCTGCATCAGGAAATAAAAACTTTCCAGATTCTTAGTGTGACTCCAGATCTCCATGTCCATCATGCTAAACACAATCAGTACTAATGTATCCTGCTGGGTTTTTACCTCCTTTTCAGATTAAGGAACTGGAAACGGAGCTAGATTCCGAACAGAAGCGTCACGTGGAGACGGTGAAAACTCTGCACAAGAATGAACGCCGTCTGAAAGAGCTGATCTTCCAAACAGACGAGGACCACAAAACCAACCAGCGCATGCAGGAGCTTGTGGAGAAGCTGCAGAACAAGCTGAAGATTTACAAGAGACAAATTGAGGAGGCCGTATGTACCCCAGACTGTAACTCTCCCCTCTTGTGTGCACACACAATAATATCTACCACATAAATTGCATCTTCAAAAGAAACAGAACCTGAAATACGTGTTCATCAGTAGCATTAGCACCTCCAGTCATCAGGCTCCTGTTTTATGCTCCCTTTTCCTGCCATCACTGATAATACAAGCCCCAACGTACCTATAAAAAGAGAGCCACCTAAAAACCCACCTGCCTTATCCTTTGCAAAAAATCAGATTAATGCACGTTGTCATCTCAACCTCTTGCAGTCTGTTGGCCGCCCTCACAAGTTCCCTCCAATATCTGGGGGGATGTGTGTGTAAAATGTATTTATTCCTGGTCCAACAGTTTACTCTACACTTTGTCTGATTGGTTGTACTGAAGGAATACAGGTCAGAGCCGTTTTGTGCCGGCATGGTCTGATATAAAGACTTAAAAAAAAATAAGCCAAATCTTCTCATGTCCGCAGGAGGAGCAGGCTAACCAGAGCATCGCAAAGTACAGAAAGACGGTGCACGAGCTGGATGATGCAGAGGAAAGGGCTGGAATGGCTGAATCGGCACTAAACAAATTGCGCACCAGGCACCGTGTCTCAGCGAGCAAGGGATTCACCTCTGTGGAGATCATCCAAGTGTCGAAGTCTTCTGCTTCCAAGTCTGCTTCGGGGGAATAGACACCTATGCTCTGAACCTGCAGCTGGTAGGGCTGCATGCCTGGCCTTTTTCAGACAGGGTACTGGGGTGGATTCAGAAACACGGGTTCAGTACTGACCCTGGGGGACTCACTGAATTCACTATGAATGGTGACGGGGCCATTCTGCATGACTCTGCTGATGTGGGAAGAGGAATTGTGAAATTGAAGAGGACTGTGATGGTTATAGATGCTGTTACAGCCTTAGAATCATGCAGAAGTTCCACTGTCACTCTTTAGCTCAGAGGCAGTGGGGTTTCTGTCCCCTCCACACCCCTCAAGTAGAACCTATGCTCAAAACTGATATACCTGGCCCGGAGAGGTCAGGATTTAGCCCTATTAAAGGAAATCATTGGCCCGGTCTGAGCATCAGTAGGTTCCAGTGGGTGTTTACATGGATACTGTAGCATTTCTCACCTCTTCCCCTCCTCCCTAGGGAGGCTTTAAAAAATAAAGAAGTTGCTATTGCAATTCAATTTCAATGTCTCTTTCCTTCCAGGGTGACACACATCTTCCCAACAGCTGCCCATTGCAAGATTGCTACCCTAGTGATGAATTGAAAATAGCAGTCTAGAGCTATCAAGAAGACGCCTACAAAGGGAGAGAGAGATGGAAACAAAGAATGTACGTGTATCTCTGGGGGTAAAAGAATGATCTGTGTGTTCCCATCACTGGAGAGCTTGAAACCAGTACTTCCCCCGACTGGATTAAACCACAAAATCATATAGGTCTGGCTGTTATCAGTTGAAATGAGTCTGTTTTCATGTGGATTTTACATTTTCATGTCAAGGACGGAAGGTGTAAAGCATTTGGTTGATGTGGGCTGACTCTTGTAAATAATTCCTCACACTAATAGTCTTAATGCATAGTCTTAATAAAGCTTACTGCATGGGAAAGAAACTTGGAGATGCTGCTGGATTGTCTGTTTGTAGGATGACAGTTTGATTCACTGAGACCTCCTGTCCAAAAAAACATTTTTAAACTAAATTCAGCAGCACTGAACCACGTTGGCTAGTGTGCAAGTGTACTAGTTACCTTTACTGGATCAGAATTTCTCAGCTGTGTGTCACAGGTCCTCTAATCCTAACAGTTAAAAGCAGGTTCTCCTTTCACCCAGGGTTTTGGAGAGGAAGGATCTAAGTTCTAGCCCTGCTATTGGTCTAAGTTGCTGTGGTACACATCACACTGACACCTATGAAGTCCTAGGCCATGGATTCTTTTAAATCCCAATGTACGAGGACTTGCACAGCATTTCCTTTGCTCATTTAACATAAGGGCTGTAGAGATTTTCCAGATCCTTTTGGTGATGAGGTCCCAGCCATGCACTGTTGGGGGCAGTTTTGTGACATCAACAAAAAGGCCCAGCCAATCAGAACATGGCTTTGGACAATCAGTGTCTCCAACCCAGACACTACTATGTACTGGCACACACTCTCCTGGGGTGAAAAAATACAGCATTGTGTGTCTGTATGATACAGGCCCTTGTGACAATGGGTTCAAGGGTGTGATGCTTGGGATCAGAGATTTGTGCAGCTAAGGGAGGCGGAAGCAAAGGTGGCTGAACACATGCTGACCCAGCTCCAGTAACAGCACGGTCGGGGACAGTGGCCGTTCCAAGAAACAGCTGGAGGATTTGTCAAGAACAGATCAATGCCAAACCAACCTGGTTTCCTTCTTTGACAGGGTTACTGGCCTAGTGGACAAGGGGGAAGCTGTAGACATGATATATCTAGACTTTAGTAAGGCTTTTGACACAATCCCATAAAACATTGTCATAAGCAAACTAAGAAACTCTGGTCTAGATTAAATTACTGTAAGGTAGGTGCACAATTGATTTTAAAAACCCTATTCAAAGAGCAGTTATCAACGTGTTTCTGTTAAACAGGGAGGGTGTATTTAGTGGGGTCCGACGGGGGTCTGTTCTGGGTGTGGTACAAGTCAATATTTTCATTAATGACTTGGATAATGGATTGGGGAATATGCTTTTAAAATTTGCAGATGATGTCAAGCTGGGAGGGGTTGCAAACACTTTGGAGGACAGGATTACAATTCAAAACAAGCTTGACAAAATGGAGAATTGGTCTGAAATCAACAAGATCAAATTCACTAAAGGCAAGTGCAAAGTCCTTCACTTAGGAAGGAAAAATCAAATGCACAACTACAAAATGGGGAATTACTGACTCGGCAGTAGTACCGCTGAAAAGGATCTGGGAGTTATAGGGGATCACAAATTGAATTTGAGTCATCAGTGTGATGCTCTTGCAAAAAGGGAAAATAATATTCTTGGGTATAGTAACAGGAGCATTGTATGTAAGACACGGGAAGTAATAGCTCCGCTCTATTTTGCACTGGAGTATTATATGGCCTCATCTGGAGTATAGAGTCCAGTTCTGGGCACCACACTTCAAGAAAGCTGTGAACAAATTGGAGAGAGTCCAGAGGAGAGCAACAAAAACTGATAGAAGGTTTAGAAAATCTGACCTATGAGGAAACGTTAAAAAAGTGAGCCTATTTAGACTACAGGGGGGCCTCATAACAGTCTTCAAATATGCTAAGGCTTGTTGTAAAGAGGACAATGACTGATTGTTCTCTGTGTCCACTGATGGTAGGACAAGAAGTAATCGGCTTAATCTGCAGCAAGGGAGATTTAAGTTAGGTATGAGGAAAACCTCCTATCTATCAGGGTAGTTAAGCACTGGAACCCTTGGAATCCCGGTCATTGGAGCTTTTTAAGAACAGGTTAGACAAACACCTGTCAGGGATGGTCTAGGCATTCTTAATCCCGCCTCAGGTAGAGGGATGGACTAGACGAGAGGTTCTCAAAGCCGGTCCGCCACTTGTTCAGGGAAAGCCCCTGGCGGGCCGGGCCAGTTTGTTTACCTGCCGCGTCCGCAGGTTCGGCCGATCGCGGCTCCCACTGGCCCATGGGGGCGGGAGGGAAGGGGGGCCGGCACACCCCCCCCCCCCGCCACA